GGGAGTTCGAAAGGTGAGGAAGACGGCAGCATTCAGGATTCTCTTCTTCAAAGACCGAAGCAATGTTCTTCCATTCCTTCAGCTGTCCAGCAAGGAGCTCTTCGGTGATCCATTCGACTACAGCACAAGGAGCTATTCTTGGTGATCAAAAGAAGTTCGGCTGACAGTTTTTTCCACCTAACTCATTTTGCAGAAGTTCTTTCGTAATTTTTTCAGGTGTTTGGTGGGGCGAGATTCACAACAGACCACGAGTTTCACAACAGACCAAGAAGACCAAGAAGGGGAAGGAAATCAGTCCAAGAAGAAGAAGAAGGGAAGAGATTTCAAGAATTGAGGGAGGAATTTTAGATCTTGTATCGAGGTAGTTTCGAGAGGGAGATATCTAGAGGAGTGTTCATTCTTTGATGTAAAAAGCTTATAATTCTTCTTTGTCTTAGTGTATTTGTTGGCAATTCCCTCCCGTGGATGTAGGTCTACGGACCGAACCACGTAATTTCTTGTGTTCTTGTGTTGCATTTGTTTTTCCTGTTTTTTCCCGTCTTGCTTGCTGCGGTTTTCCAATTCTTGGCTACAGAAGTTGTTACCAGGCAACCCAGGTTTTTCCATTCCTTTGGTTGTCTAGCAACAGCTGGTGTCTTTGGGCTATCCAAATAGAAGTATCTCAGGCTGTAAAAGAACGGGAAGCTGTCCTGGTATTTCGGCAGCAAGGGGGTAGCGAGGAGTGCAGCACTTCAGGCTTTCGGATGACACAGAAAGATTGCGGCAAATATCAACATTCTTCTCTTGGGACAGCAGGTGTTCTTCGGCTACAGGAGGCAACAGGTGCTCTTCCGTCAACCTGCTGACTGCAAGCAGGTTCTTAGGTAATCCATGGTGTTCAGCTATCTCCAGGAACAGTCCAGAAGGCAAGCTAGAGAGATACTCGACCTACAGGAAGTGATCTTCAGTTTTGCCTCTCCTTAGCAGTAGGTGTCTTCGACAATTCCTTAAAGTTGAAGGTGTTCTTGGACAATCCAGTCCTTCAACTTCAAGAACTGAAAGGTTGTTCAGATCTTTAAAGCATTGCAGGTTCTTGGTAGTCTTGGTGATCTGTGATCAAGAGAAGTTCAGCTACAGGAGTTCTTTGGAATTATCTCTTCGAGTTCGGTGGTGCGAATTTTCAACACTAAAGTATCAATTTGTAAAGTGTAGGGTTTCTTCAATAAAGTTTTATAGTATATGTCAGCAAAGGAATATGTACGTGTTTCATTCAGACCGAGGATTATCAGGTAAACAAAAGATCACAAGACATGGACGACATTTAAAATAAAACAAAATTATGTGGGAGATGTGTTTCTCTATTTGGAAATATGCCAGCTAATAAAATTGGAAATACAAACTGAAACAAAAATATTTATAAATTTATACCTGCATGGATGGAGGTTGCAGCTGTCTCTTGAGATCACGAACTGCTGACTAAATGAGATAAAAGTAAAACATGATAAGCTCAATTATGCTACAATAGTAACTATTGCTAAACTCATGAGATAAATTTTACTGTAAGCTTAGTGGGAGAAGGGCATGTTGTTGTTGTTTTATTAACTTCCAGGAATTGGCCTTGGCTTTTGTTACCAGTAAAAGAGAAAGGAATTGCACCCAAATTGGATGCAAGGTTTCTGAATGAGCGGATAATTAATGATATGATCTTGATATTACATAAATAAACAAATAACAACAAAAAGGGAAAAGTAACAAATCAAAATCTATTATCTTATCCGAGCAAAGTAGAAAAATGCAATAAAATAAAAAATCAAAGAAAAAAAGTCTACAACAGAAGGACATCGCTCGTCTCAAAAGCAGAATAAGAGAGACGTACACCAATGTGTTGAGTTATAAAATAAGAAAAGAAATTCATAAATCATGTACTAGACAGTCTTGTTGACTTCAGAGATGTCAATACGATAATGAAAATTTTCTTGAACTTGAAGAATAAACCAAAACTTTGAGTTACTATCGAATTTCATTCAAGCAGACTATTTAAGTATATGGTTATCAGCTAGCCATGCTATGTTGAGATTTGAGCAAATCAAAAATAAGAATGTTTTATGATGATACTTAAGGGCAATTTTGTCTTTTATTAGCCTAAGGTTTTATCTTATATTATTATTATCATTTAGTATAAATAGAGCAACTATATTAAGGGTTAGGAGCATGCATGAAATTGGATCTTGTATCTTAGGGTTAGGGTTTGAGAGAGATTTCCTACCTCTCGAATTGCAGGAACAGGAATTGGGAGATCGCCCCCCTCTCGAATTGTAGGTGCTTATCTATGTATTTGTCTTGAGTATTTGATGTTATTGCAATAGAATATCTATTTACCCTAATTTCTATGAAAAAAATTTTCTCAAATTATATCAAATGGCATCAAAGCATTTGATTCTGGAAATGGATAGGATCGTCACTTACAGAGTATTGGATATCGTGATACAATCACGATCAAGCTAGCAAGAAGCGACAATGGGATCTCGGCGTGCCTCGTGACAAAACAGTCGTTATTCAAGTTAGCTTGGATGCCAACGGTGAGATCGCGCATCGCGAAACAACACAATTCAAGCCAAGACACCGACGATAGGATCGTGGCGTGTCTCGTGATGATACTGTCACGATCGAGCAAGTTGGGAGTGGGAGTGGCGTGCCTCATGCGATACAATAGATGTGAAACAACGTGATTACGGCGTACAAAGTGACCACACTCTATCGAAACAGTCATGATTCAATTTTTCTTTGATTCAATCTGGGACATCTTCTTTGATCCTTGACAACACCTTCCTCAAAGCCCTACAACAAATCCCCCTACCAGCGATGAACATCTGAATCTTCACCTCTAATTTCAGTCATTCCTCAATTCTGGTTACTATCAATGTCACACATCAACTAACCCCCTTAGTAAGGTCAATCATGGTGTGACAGAAGTTAATAATTTAGTCAAACCAACTCTCACCAGCACTCGTCATGATTTGTATAATCATGACTCGGTGGATGATGAATTAGTCCAAGTAGATCACCGCAACAAACGTAATACCTTGAATTTCATAATTTATTCATATACAAACATGGAAGCATGAAAATCATATCATCAAAAATATGAAAACTATACAAAACTCCTAAATCCAATATAATAAAAGTATGTATCCAAAACACATGTACAAAGACATATCTGGCTACTCTCCCATGTGCTAATTGCCCCTGCTTGAAAGCCAACGACAAAGAATGAGCAACAACGAGCTCAGAGAAAAAAAATCAGGGCTAACATAAGATTTTATACATGGAAAAGAAACAACAATGACGCGGGGGCTATGGAAGACCGGCTGATCCTCAAAGGGAGGGGGGTTGCCACTCCTCCCCTTCCCCTCTTTCCTTCTTCTCTCCCCTTCCCCTCTTTCCTTCTCAAAAACTTCCTAATTTAAGTCTTTTCAAATCAAAAATTTTGAATATTTTTATTCCTCTTTTCAAAATCTGAATTTTCATTATAATCTCTTTCCTAAATTGAATTTCCATTATAATCACTTTCATAAATTGAATTTTCAAATCAGAATTTATAAATACTTTATTCTTCTTTCTTAAATCTGAATTTTCATTATCATCACTTTTCTTAACTGAATTTTCAAATCCTAATTTCTAAATATTTTATTCCCCTTTCCTAAATCTAAAATCTTGAGATGAGTTTTCTTTTTTATTTTAAGTATTGTCCAAAATAAAGTCATAACTTCATTATAAATAAAGAACAATGTGTTTTGAGTTAGGGGTCTTCTTTTTTATATTTGAAATCAAGTTTTATACTTTGTATTTTTCCCTTTCAGGGTTGTATCTGAAGTCAAGGTAAAAGCTCGTGTTGTCCCTCATCCGAAGCAGTGATCGTCTCCACAGATCCGACTGGTGCTTCGGCTGTAGCTCGATCCTACCGAGATATTTATCTATCCTTCCACCCTTCATGTTGTTGTTCATCCGCTTCCCTGCCCTACAGCAGGCCACCGCACCTCTTCTGCAACAACTGTCAGCTATCGTTCTCCCTCTAACCTAATGTCAGCCTTCTCCCAACAGGGCCACAGCACCCCATACTCCATCCCAATGCTCAGCCACCCTTACTGAACAACTAATCTTGTTGTCCACATGCCCAGAATTCCACCCAGCACTCAACCGACCAACTTCAAGCAATCTACCTTGTTGTCCAGACCTTTCCCATTGCTGTCAACGCTTCCCCACTCGCTATCCACCCTTCAAAAGTGCTGAAGAGCCTTCCCCGCTGCTGTCCCACCTTCCCAGCTTGCCAACCCACCTTCCAACCTTCCTCTCAACCGCCAAACAAACATTCCTGCCACCTTAACCTGCTACCTCCCTCCTCCAGTTCACCTTCCAACCCTGGTCAGCCCCTCTCCGGCATTCGCATTGTTGTCCCAAGCCTTCGGATCCACTGGCCAACCTCAACCGCCCTTGGGAACACTTTCGAGGTGTTGGCTTATGTCTTCGTACTTGCTTGTCATTTATTTCATGTTTTGAAAAGCCATTGTAATCGATTTAAATTTCAATAACAATATTTATGTTTCTTTTATGATTTGGGTTTTCTCCTTTGTTATCAAACGTAAATACTCATAAGAAACTATACATGCCTACACACACAAGTAAAAACATGCTAGAATGGCGAGAACATGAAAAAATAACAGACAGTATAAAAATTCAAGACTGCAATGTAACATGCAAATCGTAAGCACTAAATCATAAGTATAATCAAAAGCATGTTCATAGTATATAGTCATATCAATGTCATTTCATAGAGGTCATATCATAGTAATTTCAATTTAATGTATAAAGTTCAACTATTTTCATTTTCATCATGGGTCGTCACCCTCCCCAAATGTCATTTAAACTATCGATAAATGTTGAACTTCCCCCAATATAGCAGTTATCAATAGCCCCATTAATACCAACAGTTCCCTAATATTCTGTCACCGCCTAATCTCAACGACTCCCGGAGTTTCATCCTCGTATAAATATTAGAAGTTGGGATTACTACATTCCTGCATAGTGTACTTATAAGCACTCATAGTCTACACATAACGTTACTCGTGTTATTTCTTAAAGCAAAATACATGTAACATATATGCATGGACATTTCATATACATGTACGAATCATAAATGAATACCTGTAATGTATCATAGGTAGCATAGCATCACATGTATAGTAAAAGAAATCAACTTGCGTTCATACATTTTAATTGCAGGTATCTATTCACAATATGTAGATAATTCTAAATACATTTGTGTCAAAACATAAATCATATTAAAACCTATAAAAAATTATTTATATTAAATTAGCATGATTATTTTACCTGACTTGATGGAGAAGCCCTATGACGAGTGCCTACAGGCACGTCTCGAGCTCGTCGTCTCGTATAGACAACCTATAGCTAGTAGACAACATAGGGTTTCATAAAATTTGGCTCATAACATGCATTAACTCAAAAATGTACCTTACTTGCCATAACTACCTCAACAAATCTTTTCGGCATAAATTCATCTTTCCGGAACCGCCAATTTTCACTTTTCTCTCGTTCCTATCACCTCAAACCTTAATTCTCATTGATTTCGTGCTAAAACACTTTTTGAAGCTCGCAAAATCAACTACAATACTTTTGACACTAAATGGACACCTCTGATGGCTACCGTAAATGAGAAAAACATGATAAATGAGATAAATATCAAAACAAAATGGTGAAGAAGGAAATGAGAGTCTCAAATGATGTGAAAGAGAGATTCGTGCTTACAGAATTTGCCCAGGAACCTTGGATCGTACTCTACGGCTCGCAGGTGGCCACTTAGATCGCCTGCTAGCTTGCGACCCTTGCATTCTAGCAAGGGACTTGGGGATCTGCTTTTGTCGCGCATGAAACGAATGGGGAAAAGAAGAATCGGGAGAGCAGGGAAAGAATTCGGGTACGGGAGGAAATTGTGATGCTCACGAAAGCCTTATTCCACCGAACGAAGGTTATAAAATGGCGTAAGGGTCGGTTATCTGCAGTACTGTGGTATTTAAGGGAGGGATTAGGAAATATAATTAAGGGTTTAATTAAGTTAAGTAACTTAAAAATTCAAAATTTATATCTCCCAAACGTTCATAGTTCATGCATGGTGCTCTATATGGAAATAATCGATTCAACGTGCAGAATTTTATAAAATTATTTCAATTGAATTTTATGCGATGTAAAATTTGAGGTATTTTTTAAATGTGTCGAACTTTACATGGTTTCTTAAAATTTGAGCGTTAAAATTAGTTGAGAGAGGAGTTAGCGTTCTGGAATTAGACTAGCCATAACAGGCCACTTCAACATATAAATGTGATTCAGAACAATGACGAGGCTTACTATCTTGTGGTACAAGCGCAATTCAAACTATCTGGAAAACCATTTACGACATTTAAGCATACGGGTGTTTTCACCTTTTATGATAGAAAACATTTGGGGATAATGGTGACCAAAAATAGAAGCTTTGGAAGAGAAGCTAGAGAAAAAGATGAGTCACATCAATTTCAAAATAGAAAGTTTCTCAGTAATGGAGAAGAATTTCTCATTCATGGAGGCAATTTAAGTAGAGGCCATAGAAAAAATAATGAAGAAGATCGTGGAGTTTCAAGTGATACTGACGCCGCCTACAACAGATCAAGCGATGGCATCTTAAGCGGATGCAGGAGGAAACAACTAGAATGATTCATGAGACATCAAGGAAGGGTTGTTGTTTTAGGCAGTTCTACAACTGTGAGATCAGACATAGGGATTGAAAACGAACTCGAGCAGCAGTCATCTAAAGGATTGTGTGGCATCAGGGCAGCGTCACTATTTTCGGCGCATTTGGAGCCGCAGAATTGAGTGAAGGAACCGGGAGCAAGATTTATGGGCAGCACTTGAAAGGAATAGTGTGACCTTTGAATCGTCGGACTGAACTCAAGCATGCAAAATTGAACGTTGGAGTCAGAAGTAGATTAGAGCGACGACGACGAGAGGAAATTGCACATCTGAAAATTTGGAACCAGTGGCAATAAGCAGAACGGGGCGGCAAACAATTCGAGGCTGGAGAAGATCGCCTTGAAGAATTTCAACCTGGAACAGGGAACCATGGTTGCATCCAACTGCGTCGGTGCCCTTTGTGACAACAACCTTTCGAGTGAAAGACGATTCAGAAGTAATGATGGGAACGGGACTGATGGAGAAGAGCATATGAGTTTGTAAGAGACTGATTTTGACATTGCAGCGTATTCAAGAGGGAGACAAGATGATGGTGTTTCATGATATGATCCCGAGGGGTAAAGGACATTGGTAATGTTGAAGACTATGATGAGGATGATTCAAGACACAAGATTGGGATCCTTGATCAAGTGGAATCGCATTGAAGAGACACGATACGGAGTTGGCAAAGATTACGGTGGTCAATAAGCTACTAGATTAGTTGTTTGGAGAGGCGATATTCTCCAGGATTAACTTGAAATCGGGTGCCATCGAATTCAGAGGTGACCGAAGGATATGCATTAACCACATTTAGAGACGGTGAGGATCACTACGACTTTTGATTAAATGGAAATGATTGTTAGATGATGATGTCATGTGGGAGCCATACAACATGATCCAGTAGCAATTATTTTCACCTTGAAGGACAATGTGTATTGTTTGGAGTGGAGTAATATTATGACGGTACCTATGGGTAATTTTTCTTTTTATTAGCCTGATGGAAATTTTATCCTTTATTATTATTATTATATATAGAGCAAATATGTTTAGGGTTAGGGGTAAGCATAAGATTATTGTTGTGAGTCTTGAAATTAGGATTTGGGAGAGATTTCCTACCTCTCGAATTGTCGGAATTGGGAGAGATCACCTACCTCTCCCAATTGTAGGTGCTTATATTTGTATTCCCGTTGAATGTTTACTGCTCTTGCAATAAAATATAATGTCCTAATTTTTGTGTGGAAAATCAAGTCAGTTCCCATCAGAATGTTAATATAGATCAGTGACAAAACTATTATGGATAGATTGAGATTTGATTATATTAAAACGGTGGCAAGAGTAGCATTTATTGAGGGTAATGTGATGAAAAAAAAAATAATTAACATTCGCAGTAAAAGTAAGCAATATGTAGAAAAGTAACATGAACAAAAGTTATACAAAAAGATTTGAGCAAAATAAATTCAGCACCTAACGCAAAACTCAGCAAAAATAAATGGAGAATGAGGATTGATGTGATATCAAGATTTTTGCTTGAAAATTTTGAGTTCCAATGCAGTTTCTAGTTTTTAAAAAAAATCAAAATGCAAACTTGTAAGCTGCAAAGGTTAATCGTAGGCACTGCTGATCTCTGATTTAGGAAAAGTTTAGGAGTTGGCAATGGTATGCAAGAATGCTTAATAAGATTTTAGTGCACACCGAGGAAGAGGGTTGATATTTCGACCAAGAGATTAAGAATTTACATCAGTTGAAAGAAAGCTCGTTCAAATCACATTTACCACAATCCAAGGGATTTCATAGGACATCAAAAGAACAAGATTTTCTCATCAAAAAGAGGATTATAAACACTAACCATGCCCGAGGCTAGAGGACTGGCCACTCCTTATATAGGAGTGAAGCATGTAATTGTCATATGTGGAGTGAAGGGGACAAATAGATGGAAGGGACTATTCAGAAAGGAGGTATGAATACGAGTCAATACATTAATGAAAAAAAGAGGTTTCCTGCCCTCTTTAAAGTAGCATTAGTGTAACTCTTTATGAAGAAGAGAGCAATTAAAAAAAAAAATTTGCATATTCTACTGATAATCCATCAAAGCAAGAAAAGAATAGTCTAAAATGAAAGAAAAGCATAAAAAAAATCATTCCCAAAGAACAATTTTATAATCCAAGGTGTAGTGACAAGAAAAGAAAAAATCAAAATTATGAATAAAAAGGCCAAGCGATCAAAAGATAGTTGGAAGTGTAATTCACACAACTCGTTACCTTCAAGTCAGCAATCTCTTGATCTCTTTTTGCAACAGTTACTATGAAAGCAGCTTCCCTCTTCTTAGCCTTCTCAAGCTGAAAATAAATATAAGCAGCATCTTATCGTATGGAACGAAGCTAATTTCCTGCTTGCACAAATTTTGCAATAAAAGTACAGCAGACCTGCTCTTTTAAGGAATCTTCTGAGGATTTCAAGTTCTGAAGATATGTAACAACTAAAGTAGGTTCTGCCTTGGGCAATAATCAGGGGAAAAATTTTTATTTGAACAGAAAAGCTTGGAGAATTTCACAACAACATACTAAGCATGACAATAAATTAAACAATTAAAAAACATTTACAGATAGAACCCAAAATGCAAACCTGGAGATGAACCAAAAGGCAGAGCTGGACTGTTTTGAAATGCAGAATGCCACTTTTGAATCTCAACCCGTGCCGCTTCTAACTCTGCCTGCAATAAATGATAAAAGAGCAAGAATCTTATACATAGATATCGGAATCTGCTACAAATAAAATCTCACAATCATTAAACAGTTTGCTTGAAACATTCTTAAATCAAATCCATCATGATTAGGTGAGCAATGATGTATTATTATGTGCCATTGAGTAGAATATAACTTCAATGACAACTTTAATTCACCTTCCAAGGTTTCATATTTTTTTCCTTATACCCTTACACAATTACTACTTTTCTCTTACTGTCTTGCAGCCCAAGTTGCATTATCTCTTAGGCATATAATTATCAAAACCGTACTTTTTGCTTTTTCAACTAACAAAGATGTGACTCTAGAAATGGTCTATTTTCCTGACGTCATTAAAGCTTGAACTACACAAGGAGTGCTGTACAAGAAAACACTATTACAGTCAAAATCTGCTCTACGAGAATGTAATACGGTATCGCCTAGACTCAGAACAACATATACCCATATCAACTAGATTGTATAAAAAATTAATATAGAAAACAGTATCTGAAAATACAACATTCCTTTATGAGACACAAGGTAAACATACTGGATCATTTATCTGAGCTTTTGGTTGATGAAAGTCTAAGATTCTTGTTTGATAACACGGGGTGAAGAACAATCTTGTAAAGGTCAAAAAAAAAGCATGCTTTTAAGGCCCCGTTTGGGGCAGCGGCAGCCGGCACGCTTTGGAAACTCCAATCGGGGCGGTGGGTTTTTATAAAAAGTTGAAGGAAACACGGTCGCGGGCTCGACCCCACGGCCCATGTTCCTTCATAGATCATTGATGGGGTTGCCTCTCTCCTCACCACAAGCGTTCTCTTGCGTGCCTTACCCTAGCAGTGCGCTCCTCTCCCGTGGTACTCTCTCTCGCAATAATTGGCCTAAACTCTCTCTCTCTCTCTCACGCGATTCTCACATATAAGGTTGCCTCTCTCAGTGAGTTTCATATCTCTCTCCTTTATCTACTCTACGGCTCTTTGTGACTACCGTGGTTCCTCTTCATGCAGTGGTTTGTGAGTGTGGTGGTTCCTCTGTGCTGTTATTTCTCTGTGTTGTGGTTTATTTTTGTGGTGGATCCTTTGTGTTGTGATGCCTCTTCTTATTGAGTAATCCTTAACTTAACTATGTTATTATTTTTGCTCTTGGAAATGCATATATGGTCAAGATTTTCGTGGTTTCCACTTTGCGGTGTTTCCTCAATGTGGTGTTTCTTCGTGTTGGGTAATATATACCCTAAATTTTTTTGTGGCTTTGATTTTGCAAAAAGCTTTATGCCCGAGAATTTGGTGGTTTCCATTGTGAGATAGTTCCCCTTCTTGTTGTTTAATGCCTACTGTGCTCGAGAATTTTGTGGTTTTTGATTTGGCAATTGCTTTTGGTTAGTTGGTTTTCGGTTGATATTGGATTTTGGGATTTTTGGGAATCCCACATGCGATGACTTGGAAATGGGTGTTGGTTTTCGGTTGATATTGGATTTCAGTTTTATGCAGTGCTGCTTTTGAATGCACGTTCAATGGCTTGTAATCACATGAAAATGAGTGTATTTCGGTTGATGGTGAATTATGAACATTTGATTGACGTTGGTTTATGTTGTTTATGTTGTGCATGTTTGGGTGGAAGTGTTTGTGATGAGGTACGTGGATGTGGTAGTGAAGGGTGGTTGGTGGGTGGATGTGGACCAGGTGGTAGTGTTTGAAGGCGTTTGTAAGTGGGTGAGGTGGATGTGTTTGGAGGTGGTGATTGGGTATCCGTGTGGTTGTGGATGTGTTGATGATGTTGGTGTGTTTATATGTGGGTGAGGTGGTGGTGGGTATTTTCAATGTGGTTGTGGATGTGTTTGTGGATGTGTTTGAAGGTAGTGATTGTGTGGTTGTGTATGTGTTAGTGTGTTGGTGTGTATAGTTGTTGGTGTGTAGAGGTAGTAGTATTGTACATGTGTTGTGTGTGTGAAGGTGTTTGTAGTATTGTTGTGTATGTGGAGGTGGTGGCAGAGGTTATGTGTAGGTGTTGTGGTCGTGTGGAGGGGCAGTATTGATGTTATTGTGCATTTTTTTCCTCTCTGAGTTGTGTTAAATATTTTTTTATGGGAAATGTTTATGTTGATTTGTTTTTTCATGATAGTATACACAATGGCTAATACCAAAAAGGTTGGTTTATCTGCAATGTGGGATAAGGATACCAAAATGATATTTTGCAATCTATGCCTCAAAGAGGTTGAGAAGAGAAATAAGCTGACAATCTATTTCAACAAGGAGGGGTGGCAAAATATCATCAAAAAATTTAAGGAAGGTATAGGTAGAGAGTACGATAGAATATAGTTTAAAAACAAGTGGGATAAGCTAAAAAAAGGGATTGAAAAATCTAAAAGGAATTGAAGTGAAAATTTGCGGGCTTGGGTTTGGATCTGATAAAGTGAACAATTCATGTTTCTGATGAGTGGTAGGCTGAGACTAATTGTGGGCATTTTTCACACGTCAATTCCTTTTGTTCGTTTTTCAATTTTTTTTTCAAGTTTATCAACATGTCAATTTAATTTGTAGGTGGTGTCAGCCGCTAAAAAATTTAAATGCAGTGGCATCGATCCTTAGCTGAAAGAGAAGTTAGGTCGAATGTTTGGTGGTGTCGTGGCCACGAGCAACGATGCATGTGCCCCCGGTGAGGCGAGTTTTGGTGACACCCCTGCAAATTTGACAACTGACCAAACAGGTGATTCTAACAAAGGCCTCAGCCTGAAACACAATGAGGTCAAATCCACTAGTCTATCAAAGCGGCCCAAGGTTGAAAAGAAAAATAAAAAAAGTTAACTACTTTTATTAAAAGTCAGATATAATAATTGGTGGTTTCATGCACCAATGACCCTTACCCACCATAAGCAACAATTGTCCAACAAGTTATGCACATTCTAGAGGCAACTCCAGAAATTTACGAGAGCGTGTTGTATTTGTTCTTTATGAATTTTCTTGAAAATTCGGCCTAGAGAGAGTTTTTCATAATGATGACCCCTGACCATATGGTAGATTATCTATGTTATCTTCGTAGGAACAGTGACGCTTCAGGGACTTTTTCCACTAAATTTTTGTGGGACATTTCTTGTTTTTTATTTGTTTATTTACTTTAGACGGGCTGCTTTTGGACATTTTTCACTAGAAGCTTATGATTTTTCGTGCTACTTTGGAAATGTCAGTTTACCTGAGAGTTATTCATTCTTCGTATGTTTTCTATTTGCTTCAATAATATTATTTTGATGTTAGTTTTGTTCATAATGTTATATGATTGTATCTAAATCATTGACACTTATGTGTTAGCTACTTCGACACCTAAATACATGTATGTTAATAGAGCAATGAGTAGAGGAGAGTTTTAGCTGCGGAGTGATTGATGTACGAGTATTATAACTCGTACATAGAACGCTCCCCTTAAATGACATCCCCATATATTGACGACAAATGGGTTGGAGAATTGTTTGTGGGTCACCCAACAAGGTTTAGTAATATGTTTCGCATGTCACATACGATATTCATAGATCTGTTAAAGGAACTTCACAAAAATCATGGACTTCATGGCTCCACCAGGACAACTTCACGAGATATGCTAGCAATAACATTTTACATATTATCACAAAATGAATCAATGCGATGAGCTATGGAACGATTTCAACACTCTTCTGACAATTTGCAGATACTTCTCAATAAAGTTGAATGTGCTTGTCAATTTTTCATCGCAAGTCATAAAGCCAACATATCAACAAATCCTACATTCGAACAGATTCTTATGGAGATTTTTCACAATGAGCGATATATGTCATACTTTCAGGTAATTTCTCGCATTTAATACATTCAATTTTCATATGAATATAGTAATTAAAGAACCCTTCGTTATCTTTCTAAAATTATAATGGAGCAATCGATGGAACACACATGGATGCACGTGTTCTAAACAATGAGAAAATCGCATTCATCGGTCGTTATGGATCGCCAACACATAATGTCGTGGTAGTATGCAACTTTAACATGTGTTTCATTTTTGTCATGGTCGGTTGAAAGGGCAGCGCACATAACAATCGAATTTCAAAACTATAACACGGAATAGAAAATAATTCTCACATTGACCTACAGGTTCTCTTGAGAATGAGTTGATCCCTTTTTTTATTTCAACACTAATCATTTATTCACACTAAGTAAATATTATTTAGTCGATGTTGGGTATCCATTGCACCGAGGTTATCTGAAGTCATATCCTGATAGGAAATATCTCATATCTGACTTTGAGCGAATCAGCAGTGTCATGATGGGTGGGAAAGAAATGTTCAACGAAAGGCACTCCTCCTTACACGGTGTCATTGAAACTTGTGGTGTTTGGATAAATAAATGAGTTATACTTAGTCATATGTCAACCTACCCGTTTCTCAAACAAGTGCAGATTGTGACTGTCACGATGACTCTCCACAATTATATTCGACAGCATCATTCCCGCAACGACATTGACTTTCGTAGGGCAGACGATGATTTTGCACATATCCCTGTTGAGGTATATGAGCATTAGCTTAAACAGTATGTCATAGGCCGAAATGACGTTCTCGAGACCTGCACTCAAGATGGGAAAGTTGCAAACAATATGACAAAGTTGAGGGAGGAACGAATTACTGATGCGATAGTTAGAGGATGATTGGAGAAAATGTTATTTCTTATTTCTATTAGTTGTAATGGTTGTTAAACGCATTCATTGTTTATTATTACGATATTTTATACACAGTTCATGTATAACTTTGTTTCTTATGCATTTGATAATTACTATGGTTATTTTTTATGTAAGTTGTAAATGTTTTTTTTTCCTTTTGCATTTTTTTTTCTTCTTTTTGGTTTTGGAGATCTATGATGAGACGTTTGACCTAATGAGTTCTTCTAGAAGATCTGTATGTTGTTATTGATTAGTGTCACATATGAAATCCTAATGAAGGCAACTAAGTTTCTCTTTTTTTCGGTGCTGCGGTTTTTAAGGTTGTTATGGATAGCTTTTTTTTGTGATATTCATATGTGACATACGAGCTTGATATTATGTAGGTTGAAAGCAACCAAGAACTTTTTTTATAAGGTTTGTTGTCATATTATGGTGACAGATTCATTGGTTTACATACGGAGTTCTCTGAGACCTAACAGTTGCATATAACTTTAACTAATTACTTTTGTTATTAATTTTTACTAAAGTTATGTCTAAGAGTTCGTGTTTTTAAACCTTCAGCAATGATGGACTCGAGAATTTCGGGTACCTTAAAAAAATTGCATTGTTACTGCGGACTTCAGTATTCTCTGCTCACTTCGCGTCAGTCACATAGCTACGGGAGAGTTTTAAAGTTGTCCACAAAAATCAAAGAAAATTGACTATTTTTGGTGGACTAATAGACTGGAATATTTCACTTCTAAAAGTGATTGGCTTGGATGGTATCCCTGAAGTACTGCTTATCTCGTGGCATACGTCATCTACATTTTAAAAATAATATTATCATATTATTAATGGTTATTATAGTAGTCATTTTCTTAATTTTGATAGTCATGTTATTGTTTAGTGAAGTGTCAATCTTTGTTTTTTAAAGTTATACACTGAATATTTACTCTCAAGGATGGATGTATTGTATGAATAGTTATACTGCAAACAGTATTACTATACATGGGCAGAATGAACATTTGTCCAGAAACAGCTATAGCACAGCTGTTTTCAAACTACAAAAAACAAACAGACAGAAAATTTATCCTCAGCAACTTATTATTAAGTTGCAGCTGCCACAAACAAACTATAAGTCTCACTCGAGTAAAATCAAAATGGGGAAATAAGATATCACTCAAAATTGTAGCTCCCAAAAAAAAGATCAAAATTAAATTATATTTTGAAAAGGTGTACAAGAAGAAATATTAGTTTATATAACAGCAAGCAAGCAGAGAAACCACATAGCACATTGAAGCATAGTTTTAGATATTTTCAAAAGTTGAATACCAACCTGGCAAGTTGCAAGGTCATTCTTACAGTTCTGTAAACTGAAAAGAAAATGCAAAAATAAGGACATAATAAGGACATAATAATAATAATAATAATAATACAAAAAATTCAGCTTGCTTTGTTTCAATTTCCTTATTTACAAAAAATTGAGTATTCACTGAAGTTAAAAAGGTATACCTTTCACGAAGTGACAAGATCATCCCTGTTGCCGCACCTGGTCCACTTTCTTCAATGTTTGACTTCCCCTTGTTTGTAAAAGAGTAGAGTTAGTGATACAATAATAAATCCCAGATTGTTTCTTAGAAAACGACAAAAAAAGTATAAGCTTTACTTTCTAATAGTGCAACTCATGCCTGAACAAATACATCTTTCAGAAAAAAAAATCTATGAAATAGACACAAAAGGTAAGCAGCATATAAATACAGCTATTGCAGCAGCAACACATACATCCGCAATAGCATAATTATACTAGGGAAAATGTACCCAATATGTCTTGGAATGGATCGAAGGCCTCAACACAAAGGGAACACCAAAAAAAAACTACAAAAAACTTAAACCTCCAGCACAAAAATTAGCATGCTTGGCAATTTTATCACATCACGAGAAATGTTCAGACAGAACACGCTAATAGAACTAGTTCAGAAAGGAGCTAACAAAAGAGCAATTAACCAGTTTACACGCTACCAGAACTTTCTTGATATGGCGATAGGATACATTCAGTTAAGATAAGCAATGGGATCTTTGAACTGCAAAAATTATTAGCAAACTGGAATGTGAGGTCGCAAGATTACCTTCTTTGTTCCAAAAACGTCATCTTCTTCCTCGTCTAGATCTCCAAACGCTCTCTTCTCGCCTGCAAAAGCACACCAATAGAAGAACAAAAGTTGGAGCAATATCATATTTGCGACCAAAGGTAAAAGAATTGACCCAAAAATGCTGTGAACAACCTGAGCTAATTCTTCCACTGTGACTAACCGCATAGTCGCCACCGAAGTCGTCGTCCTGAGAGCATAAAGAAAAATTACAAAAAATAAATGAAGATCCAAGAATATGAGGAAACCATAAATGGGCCGAAGTTAGAAAGAAATCGCCAGATAGAAGAGAACGGAGATAGAATCGAACACCTACATCGTCTAGATGAGAGCGAGAAGCCATCGGAGTATGAAACCCTAGCGTTTGCTCTCTTCCTGCTTCGCTTTCTTATTCGCCGGTATCAGCTGCAATTTCTCAAACGAAAGTCAGAACATCAGCCAACATTAGCCAATCACGTGGGTTTAATTCGTTAGAGCCACCCGTCAACCGACTTGTTTTTAGAAAAATGCAAGTTTACACTTCAAGTTTGGAGGAGAAATTTTGGATTTAGAGCGTGTGTGTGTGTGTTATATATATATATTTATAAATTTAAATATTCTTCCTTAAAATTGAAGTATAAACTGTCATTTGTCTTAGAACAAGTCTGTTGACTGTTGGCTCTAACTAATTAAGCCAACATGATTGGCTCATGTTTTGACCTCGTTTGAGAAATTTCAGCTGATATCAATGTTTTAGACAATGAATAAGAAAGGGAAGCAACAAGCTAGAATTTTGTACCGGAGGGCTTCTCGCCCCCATCTCCACAATTGCTATGATTGCAATATGTTGCATCAATCTTAATGCTTACTATGGTCAACCTACTATGTTGCACTTTATTGTAAGATTAATTGTGTTGAAATATAATTGATCCACGAACAATGTTCAAATAGGATATGAATTTGGTGTTATCAAAGTGGAATTATGTTCAAAATTTTCTTGGAATTTCAATATAATTTCATTCTTAGTATTGCATTATAAAAAGTTGAGGCATGTTAATTTAAAATAAAGTTCTAATATATATATCAAGGATAAAAGAAAAAACATAAACAATTACCATCATCATCACGGATTAAACCACTAGCCTCTGCTTTAAATTAGTTCCAACTCCCATCCGTATTGACCTTAATCCAAGGAATTTTAGGTTTTCTCCAAAATATTTGGAGAACCCGAAGATGCGCATGCATTTTGATGATGCAGTTTATAAGAGATAACATAAGGTATTGCAGTGATATATGCATGTTCAATATCTCTGTATACTTTAATTTTATGTATGTATGCCATTATAATTGCTATAACCTTTTCCCCACCAATCATCACTCCTTCATGTTTCATTGTGTTTCTCGCCTTCGAATGAACCAAAATACAATGGAAAGGATGATATGCACTAAATTATTAGGTGTTATGCAATTTTTACTTGCCTTCATTTAATTTTATAACTTCATTTTAAATTAATGTCTCAATTTTGTATGATGCAGTACTTATTTGATTTCAAATAAGAATGAAATTATATTAAAAGTTCAAAAAAATTTTGAATATGATTCTAATTTGCTCAAACCTAATCCATATTATATTTGAACCTTGTTCATGGATCGATTATATTTCAATAAGATTTATCTTACAATATAATACAACACATTAGGTTGATTATAGTAAACATTAAAGTGGATGTAGCATAGTGCAATCAAAACAATTGTGAAACTATGAAGTATATAGTATATACAACAAAATATAATATAGCGGCTATAGTATGAGAGATAACAATCTAGCAACTATAACAAGATAGATCATAAGATAGATAGACTATAATATAATTAAACAACTATAACACAGTAGAGAGCAATCTATTAGTTATTACTTATAAGACATTTGAGTTCAATGTAAATGTAATACAATACTTTTGTCACACTAGAGAACATGAAATAGTTATGAGGCATCTGAGTGAAATCCAACAACTAAAACATTATAGATCAGATAATAACATCAAATAAAGAATAGATGTTTGCAATTGAGTGATATATGAATGTATTAAAATAATAATGTTTATAGAATAATTTAAATAATAATATTGATCTTTAAACAAGTTTATAGATTTACATTATTGTGAAATAACTTTATGCATTTTTTTTTTAATTATACACGAATGGATATAAATTTTAAAAGACTTGTCATTGCAATTAGGTATATTATGTATTATATTATATGCACCGGCACATCATAGTTTTACCATAAATACAATAAATACATTAATTACCTTATATGTGATAACACTTTGCATAATTTTTTATTAAAATTTTAAATGGTTTAGATTACTTCAAACCTGGATAACTTATTTATGTTGATTCACCTCTTTTTCCAAGAATTTTAAAAGGGAAAAATTATTGCTTATTAAATAACCTTAACATCTTAAGAAATCAATAAAAATAAACTTATTATTGTGTATAATGTCTACACTAAATTTAAGGGGGGTTTGAGTAGAATAACCTTACAATTTGTGCATAAAATAAGAGTTCAATTACTTTTTCATGGTTTTTAGAAAGTATATGAATTCTAGATTAGCTCAAGGCTTGAAGAAAATTTATTCTCTCTAATGATTTGTAATAGAGCTTCTTTAAGAGACTTAAAAGAGTCCTTCCTCTTCACCTTATTATATGTGAAGGTCACTAATATAATAACTTATCAAATAATACTCCAATATAATAATGCTTGAGCAATAAATCTTTGGATAGCACCAAAATCACCCTTTTTCTTATAATAACGATAATCCATGTGTTGCAAGAAAAAAAATGGGATATATCTAGATATTCAAAAACCCACAGCTTATTAAATATTACATTTCTTATCTTACTATTTAGCTATATAGCTGAAGCAATTAATTATTAAAGATAAGTTAAGTTTTTATTAACCACTCTATCTCCTTCTCATAGGAGTTGTCTACCAATTTTGATAATTAAAAATCAAAGGAATACAATTGCTCCTTAATAATCAAACAAATGGAATCAATAATACAGGGATCTATGGGTTTATACCTCTTTTATAATGAACATATCAAAATATAGTTGAATACTTATTACTATATTGCAACCTCCTGCCATAATCTATTAACTTAGGCTTAGTTTAATATATGTTAATAATAATAAGCTACTCTTTTCCTTCTCATTCTCCTTGTCTAAGCATATTTTAGCGAAGAATTGGTTGTAATGCCCAATCTCCTCCCACTCAACCTTCTTTTCCCTTTATCTATATTTTACCAACTCAATCCCAATTTTAATAAAAAGGAATGGGCTAATTTGGTAACAAAGACCATCTTATTATCCTCACTTACCCTCATTCTCCTCCATATGAATAAAAATTTATACAAGAATTTTTAGAGCATCTAATTCTTGCATCAACTTTAATTGATTATTCTCTAAACTAAGCTAGTTTTCTTTAACTCATGTATAATTATAAAAAGCTAATCCAACCCTTCATTAAAGGGCATGGATTGACTTTCAGTTGGTTATTCTTCTTCCTCCTCTAACATTTGCCCCTTATAAATTGTTGTGTTCACTTTATGCTTTAAAATGCGTACTACAATGAGTTGAATAAATGTATATACAATAGATGTTTAGAAGCTCGCCTTGTCAAATCTATGCACCACCATACTGTTAACAATCACATATAAAAATAATTTTATAAAGATCTTGTAAATTAATAATAATAACAATACATTATATAAATTATAAGTTGAGCTTGTAAATTAATAATACTAATAATAACAATACATTATATAAATTATAAGTTGAAATACATTCTTTTGCATAACACTTATCATGAAAAAATTCTTACAAGTGAGTATATTGTTATTCTTCTAGTTTGATATCTTTAGTGCTCTCTCCTAAAGACAAATATTTCCTCTTATCTTTAGAATGGCTTCAAAATCCCTAATACAATTATATGACATATATAGTTATAATATAGTGGGCGCGGTCATTCTTCATTAAGGCAATAGCTCTATAATTCTCCATGTCCTTTTTTCATTTCTCTTAATGTCCTCTCTGAAGATAGCCTACCACATTATATTTAATAGAGGCTTCCTCATATATAAACAAGTGGAGCACTCATAAAAAAAAACACTATATTTGTCATGGTTAAAGAGAACGCCATCTATAAATTAATATAAACCCAACTTTCATGTATAATCCTTCTTAATACATTTCATAAATGTTTTACCTTGGTCTACATACTTGATTTATTTATCTCCAATAAATTAACTATTTATTAGCCCACTCATCATGTTGATCTTCATAAATTTCCCTCAAACAAAAATATTTTAAACTCTAATTAGTGATGAGAGTAGTTTTAGCAATGCTAAATATTGCGGTCATACCTCCAATGTTGAAAATAATGAATCATCTCTCACTTCTTATCATTATCTTCTTAATAATAATTAATGAATTATTGCTCCAAAAAACTATAGTTCAAAAGTTTGAAGTAGTTGGCTAAATAGAAATTTTTTAGCTTCACTTATAAGATTATTAGCCTCTAATTGTATGACAATTTTTTCCATAACACCCATAGCTACATATGTTACCAAAGTAATGTATTTGTGCCCCTACATGCATAGTTTTATCTAATTATGTTTACATGGAAAACATTACTTAAATGAGTCAATTTCATAAAAGAGCATAAGGGAAAAATAAAATGGTGATCAAACCAAATTTAAATTATGTTTGAGTCATACTCAAACCTCATTAATTATTGCTCAAATATTAGTTGAATTATTATATTATAATTTATCCATAGGTTAGCTAAAGATATACTGACATAAAGAAAGTGAGAAGGGCGGGGAAAATTTGTGAGAATAGAAGGAAAAAAATTGCTATTAAGCTCAAGAAAATAATGTATAAGAGGAAATTCTAGATCAAAATTTTAAAAAATTCATGGCACATTAGAACCATTTTCTCTCTTTAAAATTACTTATTTGTAGGCATTGATTCAGAGTTTTAAGCTTAATTAAAAAAGCTTTAGAGTCAGTTGTGCATGTATGAAATGCAAGATAATGTAAAAATAGGCCATTTGCTCTAAGTACATGATAAAGCTTTGACTAGTAGGCTATTGTGTAGGGGAGTCGTTGGGTCTATTAAAAGTGTGGGCAAAATAGCTTCTTTACATACATATACATATATGCATGCATGCATGCACCATACATACAAACACACACACACACACACACACATTTATATACTTCTGCATATATGTAGATGTATGTAGATATACATATACGAGTATGTATATACATTTATATACATCTACATTTATGTATATGTATATAGATCTATAAACATCTACATATGTGTATACACACACACACAATATATATGTATATATATTGCGCACGCGCACTGTGTACCCCTGCCTGTTGGTTGGCACCCTCGGGTTGGGGGCTCGAATCCTCTTTGGCGTAGTTGGCCTTAAGGAGGTGGTACTCGAATTGTTAGGTAC